ATCTCTTTGCAAGCACCTCATAAAGAACTGTTGTGATTGATGTTGTGTTTTATGGGTCTTAAGGATTTCTTTTATCTTTTAAAGTGCTCCTCCAGGCATTACTTGAATTTCCCCATAAGGTGATTGTAGTCCTATTGGTTTACTTGCAGCAATGCCATTAACTGCAAATAAAAAAGGATCATGGACAGTATTTGTCCCGAAAATGTAACGGTTAGTGCAAATAAAAAAAATAAATATCATGGACAGTAATCAAATGTGCTGATAAATTTACCCCCAAACCTCCTTCCCTCCCTGTAAAACATGTCCCTGCCTTTTCTTTTCTTTTACCTTGTTCCGAGAAAAAGCTTTTTATTATTCCAAGTGTCATTAGACAGGCTTGTAAAAATCTTACAAGGGCAGCTGCTTGGAGCTCAGTTTGTACTGATCATCGATATAGGCACACCCCCAGAACCACATTTCCCAAGAACCCTTTTTGCTCAGGCTTTTTGGTGTCAAGGCAGCAGCATTGTTTTATGTAGAATGGAATTTATGTATGTGGAATAGGACTGAGGGATAACAGGCAGGCAGAGCAGGTGGGGATGACCATACTGTTTAGGATTTCACTGCAGAAAAGGCAGTTTTAGTTAGCCACACAGACTAAGAGCTGACTATATTTCTGGCAGATCAGCAGGTGTGTGTGTGTGTGTGTGTGTGTGTGTGTGTGGTGTTTTTTTTTTAAGGAATCAAACATGAGCGACTGTGCGTGTATTGGGGAGAGATACTGAATTTCCTTAAGTGAACCTGTCATTTATAATTGCCTAAATGTATCTATAGACTCAAGACTGTGGTTGGTAGATATGGCTGCCATGCAGTTGTTCTAAGCTGCAATAAACATTCACGATTGCAGCATCCAATGTACAAAGTGTATGTCTAGTACAAACATTTTACCAATAAGGCCACCATTTATATTAGAAAGCAGTCAGATATACTGTACATGAATCATTTATTCATCCTCGGGCATTGATGCCAGATTCTTGGTCCTTAATCATGGACTGTTCTTTTATCTGTTTTTTAGCCTATATAGAGTGGTGGGAAGGAATTCTGCACATACCACTGACCCCAGTTTTTCATCGATTTAAAACCATAGCAATCAGATTGGGACATTTTGCAAAAACCTTTTTCTCCA